CTCCCTCTCCCCCCGCGCCCTGCCGGTCCCCCTTGAACCTCTGCCTGTCCCCCTTGAACCCTGCCTGTACCCCCTGAACCCTGCCTGCACCCCCCAGCCCCCCCCCCCCCCCCCCCCCCCCCCCCCGCCCCCCCCCCACCCCCGCCCCGTCCCCGTCCCGCTCCCATCCCGTCCCGCTCCCATCCCCGTCCCGTCCCCGTCCCGCTCCCATCCCGTCCCGCTCCCAGCCCCGTCCCGTCCCCGTCCCGCTCCCATCCCGTCCCGCTCCCAGCCCCGTCCCGTCCCCGTCCCGCTCCCATCCCGTCCCGCTCCCATCCCCATCCCGTCCCCATCCCGTCCCCGTCCCGCTCCCATCCCGTCCCGCTCCCATCCCGTCCCTCCGGCCGGCGCTCACTTGTTGACGTTGCGTTTGAGGTTCTCCAGCTGCTGGCGCTCGGGGGCCGTGATCATCTCCTCGATCTCCTGCAGCTGCGCCTCCTCGGCGCCGGTGGCCTGCATGGACGCCAGGATGGCTTCCACCCGCTGCGACTTCTCCAGCAGCCTCCTGGGGAGGTGAGCGACCAGCAAACGGCGGCTGCAACCCCCGCCTCCCCCGCCCTTCCGCCAGCCGCCCGAGCCCCAGCCTCACTTGTTCTCCTTGGTCTCAAACTGGCGCCGCTCCATCAGGTTGGCCACGCTCTGGGAAGAGGAAAGAGAAGCGGGGCAGGGGGAGACGCCGGCAGCAAAGCCGGAACGGGTGGCGCAACGGGGACGTTGCTGCTGCCACCCCCGGTGGCACCATCCAGGAGAGGCCCCGGGGTGGAGAACAACCACGTGTGGTGGTGAAGAACCACGCATCTTGGTGGTGGTGGAGAACCACGCCTGGTGGTGGTGGCAGTGATGGAGAACCACGCGTGGCGGTGGTGGAGAACCACATGTGGTGGTGGTGGTGAAGGAGAACAACCACACGTGGTGGTGGCAGTGAAGGAGAACAACCACGCCTGGTGGTGGTGGTGAAGGAGAACAACCACGCGTGGTGGTGGTGGTGAAGGAGAACAACCACGCGTGGTGGTGGTGGAGGAGAACAACTACATGTGGTGGCAGCGGAGAACCACGTGTGGTGGTGGTGAAGGACACCAGCCACGCCTGATGGTGGTGGAGGAGAACCGCGCCTGATGGTGGTGGTGGGGAGCCACCAGGCTCCACCGCCCGGCGCAGGCGCACGCTGTGGGTCCTGGATTCCCCCCGGCTTGGGAACCTTGGTGTGGCTGGAGCCCAGATGGGGACCCGGCAGGGACCAGGCAGGTGCCAGCGGCTTCGGGGACCAGGCAGAGCCACCGGCGGGTCACCGGGAGCGTCCATGGCGGTGACGGGGACGTACCTTGTAGCACCGGTGCAGCAGCATCCGCGCGGAGGAGAGGACGTTCACGGTGTAGAGGTAGAAGGTGCGGGACGGGGCGTGGTCCGGAGTCTTGGGAATCTCCTACCGTGGGCGAGAGCAGGGGGGGCCTTCACCGCGCGGCGCCGCAGCGAGCGACACAGCCTCGGGGACACACGTCCAGCCCCCAGGCCTCGGTCCCTGTCCACGCGCCCCCTGCCTCGCTCACCTGCAGGGACACGAAATTCTCCGACAGCATTTTGTAGAGCATGTCCTTGGCTTCCTTGGCCGGGATCATGGCGAAATCCTCCACCTGCTTCTGCTCCAAATGCTTCTTCCGCAGGAGCAAGCGGAATATCCGGGCGCAGCGGGAGCCAAACCTGGGCGGGAGAGGAAAATAATCAGCGGATGGAAGCGAGAAAGGGTCCGGAAGCCTTCAATCGCCGTTTTACCTCTCCTCCACGATGGACTCCAGCGTTGCCGTCGCCAGAGACGCCAGGGCCTTGTGAAGGTCTGTACAAGATCAAGGTCAAGGGCCAACACCGGCGCGCGGGAGCACGGGGGGCGGGTGGTTTACCCCAAAGGATACTGACAGTGTACATGCCCCCGCCGCTGTCCCCGGATTTACCCACAAACTCGAGCTACGAGAAAAGACAGAAAGCTCAGCACATCCCAAAGTAACAAAAATCCCGATTGTCTTAAAATCTTGATTGTAAAAAGTAATACATAGATTTTATGAAAAAAAACCCACCACCTCTGACCTTAACGGCCTAAGAACATCGCCCATATTTTTTAACACTTCCAATTTCTTTAAAACATCAGTAGCAAAGCGGTTTTCCCTCGGCCCGAGATCTCCCCAGGGCGCGGCCCAGGCTGGGGGTGCAGGGAGCGCGGCGAGCAGCCGCCGCGGAGCTGCGTTTGACTTCTTTACGCAGCCCCCTTCTCGCGTTCGGGCGGCACGGATAACGACGCGGTTCTTACCGGGTCGTCTGCTAGCAGGGTGAGGTACTGGTCCAAAACCTGCTTCGCGATGTTGTATCCGGCCGGAAGGGATCTGAATATCTACGGGAGGAAACCAGGCAGAACGTAAGCGGGGGTGAAACGCAATAAGCAGCTTTTTGAAATCTGCAGGTGCTTTACAGAGTTTTCCTGCCGGAGCCAAGCCCGGTGCCGGAGCCAAGCCCGGTGCCGGAGCCGTGCCCTGCACCCTGACGTCTCGGGGGCGGGAACCGACCTCGTTGGAAGAGAGGGGCTGGGTGTACGGCGCGTTGGAGGACGTGGTGACTTCGCTCATCCGCAGCATCGTCCGCACTATTTCGCTGCTGGTCTGGTTTGGGGGGGAAGGAAACGGCCCTGAGTGGGGGAGAGCCTCTGTCCCGAGCTCTTCCCGCAGCAGCAACCGCGCCTGGGCCGCCCCTGCCCGCCCCGGAGCGGGGTTTAAACCCTCCCCGCCGGGCCCACAACCATCCAGCTCCCCCCTGACGTGGAGAGCAACCGCGGGACGGTTCGGGGCGCTTCCACCAACCTGATCCATGCGGTTGGCCACGGCACTGACGATCCCCTGGTCTCGAAAATGCTGGTGGAACCGGTCGATGTTGACTTGCCAGTAAATGCCGTCGTCGGGCAGAGGCTGTGGGGGGACGGTGGGAGAGAGAGGAGCTGCAAAAGCTGAAGGAAAGGGGCCACAAAACTGGGGAAGATGAGATGCAAAAACTGAGGGGGATGAGACAAAACTGAGGGAGAGGAGCTGCAAAAACTGAGGGAGAGGGGCCACAAAAACGGAGGGAGAGGGGCCACAAAAACGGAGGGAGAGGGGCCACAAAAACTGCTCATTTGGTTTCCCCAGGAGAACGTGTTTGGGAAGACGCTGGATCCCTCGAGCCCGCAAGCTCAGAGGAGGAGGAAGGAGCTCAGCCCTCGGCAGGACAGGGACAGAGGAGCGTCCCCAGCAACGGTCACATGCGGGGGGCAGGCAGCTGCCTCCACCTTTCCCCTGTGCCGCAGCCCCGGCTCTGATTTACAGCCGAGGGCGACGTTCCTTCAGCGTCCCCCATACCTCCGAGCTTTCTCCATCTTGCTTCTGCTTTTTAGCCTTGTGTTCCCCGTTCTCCTCCTCGTCGCACGACCGTCTCCGCTTCCCTTTCCCTGTCAAACAAAGATGGCGTTTGCTTTTAAAAACCACTGCCACGGTCTCGGGTGAACAGCGTGTGGCCGCGCGCTCCCCCAGCGCCCTGCTCGCCGGCGGGTAGCGCCTGGGGTTACCCCGAGGGGCTTCTCACCTACGAGGTTGAGCCTGGGCACGACGTACATGTCCTTCTCGTTGATCACCAACGCGGGCGCGGGGGGAGGCGGCGCATCGGGGTTCTCGGGGGTTTCGGGGACCAGCGGACACCTCTGCACAAAGTGCGTGTCCGCCAGGCGCACAAACGTGTTGGAGACGTCAGCGTAATCCATGGTCTTCCCGTCTAGGGCAGAGGACAGAGACGGCGGCGTCAAGCTCTGCCAGCCCCGGCTCGCTCCTGCGGCTCTGGAGGACGAGGTGACGCTGTGGTCCCCAGAGAACCGCTAGGAACAGGCTGCTCGGAGGCCGTTTTGGGGTAGGGGGCCTGGTTTGGGGGCATTTATAACCCCTCTGGCAGCGGGACCACTTTGGGTGGCTCCTTCTCCCAAGTTCAAGGGCTGCTTTCTGCTGTAACGCAGGCCACAGAGCGTCTGGTACCGCATTCACCGAGCAAAACCGGCCTCCGGCAGCCGCTGCGCCTCCTCCCGCTCCCAGATCCCCTTTTTTAGGAAGAGGAGATTCTCACCTTCCATGGTTTCAGTCAGCCTGTCCGCCACCTTCCTCACCACCGCGCTCATCGTCATCTTGCCGTTGAGGAGCAGCTCCTCCACGATGAGCTCCCCCGTGTCGTTGTAGAGGGTCTTGGCGGTGTAGATGTAACGCGGGTAGCGGAGGATCCTCAGGACCCGCTTGCACTGGGCCTCGTACTCCACGAAACCTCGCTTCTGCAGCTGGTACGTCACCAGGTTGTGTTGGATGAGGACGCAAAGGGCTTTCTTAACCTGCCCGAGGCAGAGCGGGGCTCGGTTACGCGACAGCGAAGCCCGCGCTGCGCTCACCCCCCTTCACGGAGCATTTCCTCCACGCGCAGCCACCATTTTCCCCCCGCTGTGACCCTCCCCGGTGTCTGCGTCACCATCTTGTCCCCTGCGCATCACCCCCATCTCTCTGGCCTCTATTCCCTGCCTTTGCTCCCTACGGAGACGTCAGAGTTACGCTCTCCTCCTTCCCAGACCACTTCTTAAGCGAGATAATGAACCACCTCTCCCGCTTGAGAAAACCCACACGATTTATGTTTTTTATAAGCGCCAAAGGGCTCGTTTGTCCTTCTCAAGGTTTTCCCTCCAGTTCCTCCTTCGGTGCTGGCTGACAGCTCGGGCTGAGATGGGAGCGCTCCAGGCTGCGTTATCGAACGCGCCCAAGCCGAAGCCGACGCGGGTTTGGGACGTACCTGATCCAGCAACAGCCCCGTGTCGCTGACGATCATCCGCAGCGGCTGGGTGCCCGTCCTGATAAGGTAAGTCCCGATCTTCTCCACGATCTCCCCGAAGTGTTCTTGCAGCAGGAGGGAACACAGCTTTATTTCCGCCTGAGTCATCTCGACGGCAGATCAAACCCCCCGGCGGTGCTGGGGAAGAGCGCGGATGTTATTACGGCTGGTTTGGGGGGACGGGATGGCGGGGGGCGCCCGGAGAAACCCGTCTGTGCTCCGTCCCGAGATGGATGTACCCAGGGAGACCAAGTCTTGAGTGAAACCGGCCCCTGGCGCTGTGGCGGGGGTGAGATGTGGAGGGGACGGATGGTCAGGCACACGGCTGGTCCCTGTGTCCCTCCCTGGGGATGGCAGCCCTCTCTGAGGAGAGGCCTGGGTCCATAGGTTCCCGCCACCCAAAGGGCAGCCATGCCAGAGGGGCCGGGGTCCCCGTGTCCCTGTCCCAAGGGGGATGGCAGCCCTGTCCGCAGGGTCCCTGTGTCCTCTCCCAGGCTGGATGGCCCCCACAGAGAGCTGGGGTCCTGTCCCGCGTCCCCTCCCCGGGGATGGCAGCCCTGTCTGAGGCGGCCTTGGCCATAGGTCCCCGCCACCCAAGCGGCAGCCATGTCAGAGGGGTCAGGGTCCTCGTGTCCCCCTCCCAGGCGGGATGGCCCCCACAGAGGGCCGGGGTCCTGTCAGAGGGGCCGGGGTCCCCGCGTCCCCTCCCGGGGTCCGCAGCCCGCTCGGAGGGGACCCGCCAGGCCCTCACTCACCCAGGCCCGGCCTAGGCCCATGTGGCCACCATGGCAACGGGCACTTCCGGTTCTCCGCCCTCTACTTCCGGTGGCGCTGGGTACGGCCGCGCCTCGTTGGCCGCTCTGGAGGACCGGGCCGGGCGATGCTCTGCCCGCGTCGTCTCGTCGGGCCGAGGTGACGCTCTACCCACACTCCCTCGCTGCTCAGTCCGGAGCAGACGAGCGAACCGGAAGCTTGAGGCTAGCGGGTCGTTCCGCCGACGCTCTACCCGGCGGACCGCGGCCTCTCTGCCTCGGCGGAGGACTGACGGCAGGGAGCCGGCGGAGGCGGGGGCGAGAGAAGAGGGCGGAGGGCTCGGGGGGGGGGGGC